TTATATTTAGTTATACTAAGACACATGTATTAGCAGCTTACAGAATTATTAGCAGATGAAGAGATTGTGAGTGGAAACGTTGTGATATTTTAGTGCAGATCCGTTCCAAAATATCTAAAAGTGCTGTATAAGTTTGATGCATCTTACTTATATAATTATTACAATATTGCACATATTTGTTACTGCTGAACTTGAGGTTCTATAAAACAAATCTTTTTGTGATTTAATTTAGTTAGTACAAATGAGTTTCCCGCACAGCAGTCAGACCCAACCTGGTAAAAAGTTTATACAAATTGCAATCTTCCAAATGTGTTAAAAACAAGATTATGTTTTTTAAGATGTCTCACCCTGCTCTTTGAGTGAAAACACAGCAGCCCATTTCTAAACTTTAAACTGTAATATCAGAAATGAGAACAGCAATGTATATCTAGCACTTTTATCGTAATCTACATTTAAAAGGGATCTTTTAGGGATTTGGGGATTTTGTAGTTATCTAGAAACGAGACAAACTATGTATTATGTATTTTGTATATGAGTTAGATTAGATTATGGGATATAAACGAGAGCCAAGACCAGCTACATTTCACCCACAACAAGAAACTCATTCTCCTCTGTGATTGGATAATCTTCTTGGAATTAAAAAAACATACATATTATTGACTAATTAGCTGTAGAAACTTGTTGTAGATGTAATTCATAATGTAAATATTAAATACTGTCCAAAAGCAGCTGTTTTATAGGTGGCAATTAAACTAGTAGTGGCCGCTGGATCACTCAAAATAATTAGGTCAATACATTTTTGGCTTGTGTTGTTGTTTTTGTCTGTTCTTTCTTATATACACAAAAGTAATATTTTTACAATGAATCATACGTGTTTGAGTATCATGTATTCTCCTTCATCCAAGACGGCTTTGTTCCTCCCTGTCTCTTCGACCACAGCCTCCACAACTCACTGTTTCTGCTTTACTGATATTTGTTCAATGGTTAAAAAAAGATCCACTGATTGGTGACTTGATCTGTGGTCGAATCAGAGCCATTGAGTGACTATGTTTCAGCAGAGATGGCATAAAGGAGCGCTTATAGCAATTACAGAAATAACTGAGCATGTCTTTTTCATTGTTTTAGATCAAAATTATAATTTCAAATTAACCAAATTTAAAACAAAGAGTCACAGTTTTTGAATATTCAGATTCACTTTATTTGTCTTTTGCAGTAGCACCACATTGGAATAACTAGTTATAGGAGTCTAGGCTTAGAAGTTATTCCAGAACATTCTCTGAGAACTCTAAGCAGGGAATAGATAAAAAACTCCTATCTTAGTGAGGAGGCGTGGCCGACCCTGTTGCGAGGTATGAGCCATCATTTAGGACGATGTGATTGGTTGATCCTAAAAATTAGAGAAAATATAATGGGCAAAATAAGGACCCTCAGATGGACAAACTTGGAATCTAATCTTAGGAAGACTGTCTCTTTTTTTATAATATTCTGCATAAAAGATAGATAGAGAATAGATAGATATATGTCAATGTAAATGGATGCTGTGAATAGAGAGTTTCACTTGTGTGTAATGAGGGAAACAAGGGTAAAATGGCACAGCTGTGATTGCTGACCAGCCTATAAGTTAATTCACTGTCATCCAGTGTTTGTGGAATATCTCTCCTGCCTCTTCCGTCCACCATTTTGTCCTCTCTTGTACTCTGAAGTTGCTGGAAGTCCTCCTCTCTCCTAAGGTGAGATCTATTAAGAGCTAGGATTCTTTAGGAATAACTTTTTTTCACTAGGCTCTACTTTTCATCTTTATGGGAAATTCTAAGAGTATATAAAGATTCTAAGAATATTCTGAGAGTTTGGCCCCTAGGAGCAACTTTTAGCTCTAAGAATCTTTAGGTATTCAGCACCAGAGGTCTTGCCATGGTGCCATGTCTGGGGATTCTCACAATGCAGCAGACAGAAGCCCGCTATGTCTTCTTTAAAAGACTCGGCAAACCTCAAAGAGAGATTGAGCGCTGTCCACGCCTGCCACAATGAGCGTCATAGAAAGCAGCTGTTGAAACGATTGTCTTGAAATTCAATTACCAGCTCCCTACAGGCCTCTGGAGAAGCCCAAATCAGCCTCTCTCTTACAATCATGCCCACAGATGAAAGGGAAGGCTCCAGGAACAACAATCACCCATACGCCCAGCCAGATAATTACAGACAGCAGAGAGGGGAAATGAATTAATTACTCACTGCAAAAACTCAAGATAGAGGTGAGATCAGGTAATGGCCGCTGAAGAAAACATGAAACCATTTTTTCATTTGTACATTTCAGGGCTTCATTCTGGCCCTAAAAGTCTACGTTTTGGCAAATTAAACCAAAAACTTTTGATTGATGACTAATTAAAGTTAGCTTTATATTGATAGGAGCTGGAGAAAGTACTGTGTGGAGGTCTGGGCATCTCTACAGAGACTTCTGGCCTTGCTACCCGAGACTGGATAAAGCAGAAGAAAATGGATGGATGATATTGGAAATAAAAAGCAGGTGACCCTAAATCCCCTTCTTGTGCAATTAAAACTAAAACCAAGTCCAAGTCGAGACATTGATGTATGTAAATGAGCACAGATTTGACAGAAAACAAGATTTGCCAATGGAACAAGCACTAAGTTATCTGTTATACATAAACTCAGACTAAGACTAGCTATTTCTCACTGGGAATGAGAAAATATATGGTTCTATGCGCAAAGTATAACTCAAGCTGCCTGTTATTTTGGGCAATCTTGTTTCAGGTTGTATTCTTATTTCATTTCAAAGGGTCTTGTAAAAGTAACATCATTTGTGAACAACTCAGACCGGATCTTACAAGAAAACGTGTTATCTTTTGCATAACTGAAAGAAAGAACCCTGTGAGTCACCATTTTTGATATTTGGGCTGAAAACTGGCACTCTTTCTGTCTGAATAATCTGATTTAAAATTATGATGGGCCAAAAACTTGTGCTAGAACTAAACTTGTGATTGATTGTTAGAACTAATCCTTTTGAGATTCAATTTTGGGGTCCGTCTCGCATGGCCCCGGTCCTCGTTCTACTACCTGAGTCCTGGATCTATAGCCCGGAAAGTTGAAAATGATGTACCCCAACTTTAACTTATTTTTGAGGGACAAATATTTATGGTGGTACTTAGGAGGCGAAATTCTTCCTTAGGTGCTTGTGCAAAGTTTGAAAATCACTGAATCGGAAAAACACCAAACTCTCTCTCTTTGGCCACATGTGGACTGGACGAGTCTTATTTAGTTCAAGGCCTCAACACAAAGCAACAAAAGCACGAAGAAAGAGGCGTGTGTCGTGGAAGCGCCTCTCCCAGGGGAAACGTCTCCACAGAGCTGCCGTGATCCAGACTAAAGACCGCAGTTTTACACAGCTCTGCTCTGTTGATGGCTTTCACAAAAGCGGTGTAATGGTTCACAGCTTTTCCCGCATCACATTTTGATCTCGTCAAAGTAATTTAGAGGAAACCAAAGACTGCAGTGGAAGTCGTTTTGAGCAAAGCATCATGGGAACAGAGTTAATGGCACAAGCAGGAGTCAAAGATTTTCTATTTTTATCGTGGGCTTCTTATACTTGTAAATCCAAATTTGACCCACAAGAATTGACCATCGGATTACTTCATTCACGGGGGAAACTGCAGTGTGCCCTTTTAACCACGTTAGCAACACATCTCCCCCTGGTACCACGGCACAAAGCTAACCCCGTAGGAATGAATGTAAGGAAATTGGCCCCAGCTAGCTTATGTTTAGCTTTGTTCAGCATTCAACAGTCTGTATAGTCCAAAAAGTCAATTGCCTTCTCTCACCTGAATGCATGCACTATTTCAAATTTACAGCCTCTAATAAATTGCAGAGATAAAGACATTAATTTCCACCTTTTGAGAATCAGCTTGCGTTCATTTTACTCCCATATTAATTATCTTGTCCAGATGAAATAGTAGAATAGTGGTTGTTGTTTTTCTCCCTCAGCACAGTCAATATCCTGTCAGGTTTATTATATACATCTACTGTCAGGAGTGATCTATCCTCTGCTTGTGTAAAGCAGCAGAGTGGGTGGTGCTGGAGAAACAGGCCAAGGACGCTTATGTACTGCAAGCTCACCGCTTATTTTCATCACGTCATCAGAGTTTAGAAGACTCTCAATACAAAAGAAGCAACACTTGGTAATAATAGGAAATAGCACGATGCTTTTAAAGTATTTTGTTGCTCAATTTATTCTCCAACAGAAGAGCTAGAGACAAAATTACAATAATTGGGATATTTTCTATGCCCCATAACTGATCAACATTTGTATTTGCTTTAAGTATGCCCGTGGCAAGAGCTCTGGTGTGTGCCGTCTGGTGCACACTGGGGTAGTCTTGCACAGTTTTTCCTATGTGGTTTTACTGCAAATGGCAAATAAATGAATCTGAATCTGAAGTATTGTTCCTATGATCTGTGTAGGATCCTTCACTATGCACTACAAATCAATTAGTTGACCAAAAAGTTGCAATTTTGATAGTATCTCCATACTGTCCACAAAATGTTCTCTTTTTCATGTGACCCCCTGTGAAAAAAAAAAAAAAGAGTACATTAGAAATATATACTTGTATGCAAATATGTTTATGTTCCTGAGGCCACCTGGAGGAAACAAACGCAGACATGGGAGGAGCTTTCAAACTGTCCTCCAGTCCATCGACTGCTGAACGGGCCCTAAATACTAGAAATGCTTCAAAGGGAAAGCGGTTCTGAACCAGGACATTCAAAGTTTATCAATTAATTCAACATTTATCGACCAATACTAAATTGTTATTTTTAATGATTGCGTTTCTTGTTTTTGAACTGTTTGATTCTCTGACCTGTGTTGGTGAATTCAAAGGTTTTGTAAAGTCCTCTGAGATAACTCTGTTTCTCCCATTTTCACCCACATTAAACCCACTTGGTTTTTGCATACTGCAAATCCAAGAATGCACATGTGGCTGTGGAGGATCGCGGCCTCATGTAATGATGCTATTAGTATGAGTCCAGACTGAGCCCAGACCTGAGGCCACAGCTGCGGCGGCGGTGGCGGCGATGATTACCCTGGAGTTACCCGCTCCTGTATCATCCGTCACAGAGGCCAGATCTGTAGCAGCCGCGCCCTGGAGCACAAACCCGAGAGCCGAACCATTTACATCGCCCTGTCGCTTCTGCAAGGCCATAATCCATACACTTGCCTCACCTCTCTGCCACTTCTTCCACTTCTTCAGCCTCCTGTCTTGGGATGGTGGTGCTGCTGGTGAATTTAAGAGGGACAGGCGCACTCTGACTAAGCACAAACGGGAAATCATTCTCCTAAGATCCCCATGGTAAGCTGCAGTCAGCATATTCACGTGGAAACTGCTGAGACGCACAGGGCCGACAGAGAACGCAGCGATAGACTATTAAGTTCTTTGCTCTTTATGAATCTCCATTATCTTTAGTAAAATGTAAGAGAAAGTTTGATCTTGCAAAAACAGATTTTAATCAGGAAAATAATATGGAGTGTGTGTGTGTGTGTGGGAAAATGAATGGTAGTTTGTTCTGTTTTTGTCACAACATTTAGAAGATGAAGCTAATGTCTTGGACAAAAGGTAACTTCAGTCGTTCATTGTCCTTAAAACCTTCTTAACAACAGGAATCTTACCTTCACTGTCAAAGCTGTCAGACTGTACAACAGACCTGTGTGAGTTGTCTGCAGCTGGACACCTGAGTTGCTCCTACAGGGATCAACACTGATACATCTAAAAAAAATTATACTGACACGTTTCTATGAATATGTATTACCTTCTGATATCACAAATTGCTTTCTTGATTCAAATACTTTTTTCTGTTCTATTGTTTTGCTATCTTAATGTATTGTTCACTGTTGGTCCACATACAGAAAAATGTCAATTGAATGTGTCCCATTTAAAGAAATGTATGGATTATTTCATTTATTTTGTTTCATGTTTGATTTAGTGAAATATAACCTCAAGTATAACATTTATAGAGAAACAAGTATCAAGGGTAAACAATGAGAGGTAGAATTAGTTTAGCTGAGGCTGGTGCTATGTGTACTGGGTGTAGCTCTGACTGCCACCCCCCGACCCCGAAACGGATTAAAGGGAAGAAAATGGATGGATGGAATATGTTTTGTATTTTTTTTGCTTTATGTAATGAATGGCTAAAACATCAGCCATGCGATTGCAAAGAATACAATATCACTTCAGAAAACTAATTTAGGGGAAACACTCAGTGGCTCAGTTGGTAGAGCATTGGCCTTTGAGGCTGAAGGTCGTGGGTTTGAGCCCACCATGAGACCTTCTCCACCAACTCCCACTGATGTCGGCTGTCGTTTTGTTTTTGGACAAGACTTTGCCTGAAGCCCCCACTGAAATGTCATGGCTTCTGTGGACTCACAATCTGCAGGCAGATCCGTGAGGGGCTGGTGCTATGTGTACTGGGTGCAGCTCCCCCCCACCCAACCCAGAAATGGATTAAGGGGAAGAAAATGTATGGACCTTTGTTTTTAAAGTGTGATGTCGAAGTGGTACAATGACATCATACCATCACAAGACTGAAGGACAGGGGCTTACAGACAGAAGGGGCGGAGTTACATGCTTGTTCCAGAAGTTCCTGATGAACGTGGCTAGAGCTAAACGTATCTCCAGGTCGGATGAGAGGACAATGATACAGCATGGTTAGAAGCTCAAACAAGCTTCATTGTTCAATTCAGTTCAATTCCATATTTTCTCGTATAGCTCTAAATCACAACAGCAGTCATATGGGAGGACTTCGGACTTTACAAAACTGTTGTATTCGCCAACACAGATCAGAGAATCAAACAGTTCAAGACTTCACAAGACTCGAAGACCTCCTGCATCGGCAAGGCAAAAACGTGAGCATGTTTTGTCCCTTTTAAACCACTCCAGAGCTCCTTCATCTCGCTCCATCTTCCTGGTCCCTATGTAAAAGCCAAGGCCTCAACACTGCTATCAGCTGAGCAGCCATAGGGAGCAGATGGCAGGAGAGCAGCTCCAGATGGGACGGTTGGCTGGGACATTTAAGTTAGCCCAGAAACACTCCGACACTAAGTGCGGACGCATCTTTAAAGAACGGCGTGAGTCAGGATCTGGAGGACGGTGAGTGCACGGTGACGCCATGAAACCGAGCTCACGTAAAAACAGTTTGATCCTAACAAACTGTGAGCTTCAAAAGTAGATGATATTGATTTCTTTCACTAAACACGGCAGAATGGTATTTTTAGCTCTGATGCTGGAATTACTGAGTGAGTAATATTTTGAGTAGAAATAAATCTGTTCGGATAGATGTTATTTTCATTTTGATGTGGATCATAAATAGACTGTGAAATGTATTTTTAATTGTGGTAAAAGCCGCTTTATCGGACAGCGCAATTACGCCTTGGCTGTAAATGTTGTTGTGTGTAGATTGTGTACACTGGTCCTAATCAAATAGATAAAAAGCAAATAGATGCATAAGCTGCTTCCTATGGGACAGAGAATAGTATATACTGTAGAGTTTACGTATATAAGAAAGCTGTACTAATTATTTGTGACTAGAATTAATTATGAATGACTTATAGATGGTTTTGTAATTGGATCTTTATTGTGTTGCTTTTTCGATCTGTTTGATTGACATTAGGTGTGTATGATAGGTATTTTTGACTTTCTAATGTTTGTATTATTTTGGTGGAATGAAGAGAGAGGGAAATGACCAGGCATCTGTCCTTTCACTTTGTCCCTGCTCAAATCAAAACAGGGTCAGCGTCTCTGCCCCTGTGCGATCCATAAAACAATCCATAAAAGTCAAAGATGGATTTATAGAGAATCAATGGATTTCAAAAGAAAAAATAAATCATGAAAGAAGACTAAAAATATGACTAAAATGCCCACATAATCCACACTTGAGGATTATCCGTTTTTGTTAATATTACAATTTATAGGAAGATTTGTTATGCAGCACATGAGAATACAGGCCGCGGCTTTAACATTTTCATCATTTTGTATCCAATAAAAACGTCAGTGATTATCAGAGGAGTTTAGGCTGTCCCAACCCTGCTGTATTAGTTTTCCCACGTGTTATATTTTGTTCCTCCCTAAAAACAAAAGTGCATTGCATTTGCTTATCAAAGAATCTCAAAAAGGCAATTATAGATTAATACATACCGAAGCTCGTTAGTTTTTTGCACTTGCCGTTACTGAGAAATCCCCACTGTGGGATGAATAATCTGTTGCTGTCTGGAGAATGCAAAAATCAGAGACGAAATAGGGCACAGCAGGTTTTGAGGTTTTGATCGGTCAAATACATGGAAATAAGAAGAAGAAAAAGATGGAGAAGGAGAAGGAGGAGAAGGAGAATAATAAGAAGAGCAAGAAGAAAAAGAAGAAGAGGAAGAAGAAGGAGAAAGAGAAGAAGAAGAAGAAGGAGAAAGAGAAGAAGAAGTGGAAGAAGAAGGAGGAGAAGAAGAAGAAGGAGAAGAAGAAGAAGGAGAAGGAGAAGAAGAGGAAGAAGAAGGAGGAGAAGAAGAAGGAGAAGGAGAAGGAGAAGAAACCAGAACTGAGCCCCATTGTCGCCCCCGTGTTGAAGGTGAATGAGGGGGTTGGGGGTGGTAGTAAGAGGTGTTAAAATGACGGTAAATTTTCATTGTACACACTTTTTAATTGTGTTATTACTGCCATATCATTGTTTCTATTGTATTATATGATTGGTGTTTTTGTACAGGACTAACATGACAGAAATGCACTGCAAAAAAATCCACAAACTGAAATATAATGAAAGAAAGAAAGAAAAGGATGGATCATCACAGCTGCTATAGCGCACCCTAATGGTGTGTATAATGAACCAGTGATTCTCACACAGAAACTCATGACACAGCCCCGTTAAAGTCCCCCCGCTCCTCAGATCACACTCTCTCTCCATAGGAACCAAAGCCTGTTACGTCACATGCCTCCCACTACCACTCTAGTATTTATAGACGAGAAGAAAGGTTACTCTGTACTGTGGCATTTTTTTCCTGAGATGGCCTATTGCATGTGTTCTTTGTTCTGTCCTCGTCTCGTGATTCGGCTGTTCCAGGACCAAGGTTACAGTGTGGTTTCAGTGTGTTACAAGGTGAGACAAAAAAAAAAGCAGCTTTCGTACTCTTTCCATCTAAATTATTCTTGTATAGCCCTACAGTACATCACAACAGCAGTTATCTCGGAGGACTTAACATAACCAGCTCAGATCATAGAATTAAGCCATTCAAACACAAAGAATAAAACTGAAAACACATTGGTATTGGTCAATAAGGGGGAGATGACCAATGCAAAGGATACATATGATACAAATTCCCACGGTTTTCTGCTTTTCAACCTTAACAAAAACACACCTGGACTTGTTTTAGAGCTTACTACGCTCCATCTACATAACCCGGGCACAAACACATCAACACTGCTCCGAACTTCTGACATCTCACGTCAACGACAAGTGTTTTCTACCTTTTTAAGCAAACTACAATTACAAATTACAAATGAGAATTCCTCCAGTGCAATCATATTCTTTATAACTACGTGCCTTCAATTACATCGTGCCATTTTAGACAATAATCAGCAGAATAACTGTACCATTTTTATAATTCTTCAACTCTATATTCAACAGAAGTAATGATGCTATAAACAAAACTTCACACAATAAATAAAAACAAGTTTAACGTAATTAAATAAAAACCTATCCTCATCTATACCCATAAAGCAGGGGTCCCCAACATTTTTTTCACTTAACACTTTTTCCAGAGAAGAAGTGCAGAGAGCCGCCCCTTTGAAAAGATATCAATACTGAAGAACGGGGATGTGCCTTAGATTTATTATCCGTTTATTAGTGCACATATGTATGATACAGGTCCTGGGTTCGATTCCCGGTCGGAACGGGGCCTTTCTGAGTGCAGTTTGCATGTTCTCCCCGTGTCTGCGTAGGTTTCCTCCGGGTGCTCCGGTTTCCCCTACCACTAAAAACATAACATGTACAATAGGTCTGGCATGCGCCTCCTGTACTGGTGACCTTGTTCCCATCTCAGTGTGGAGTGAGAGGACAATTGGCCAAAAAATAATTCTAAACCGCTTTGTGACTCTGGTTTGTGAAAGGCGGTATGTAAATAAAGATTACTTTATTACTTACTAGTTATAGACGTGGGAAACATAAAACATTTAATATTACACATTAGCACCAACCACATGTATTTGCTGTCTTAATTATTATTCAGATTTTTTATTAATCAGATGGCTGATTAATTGGTCCTCTAAATCAGTCATCTGGGAGACAAACTTAAAAAAAAACGTCAAAAAATGTCATCAACCACAAAAAACCCATGTCCATCTCTAGTAATTATTTTAAAGATCATGATAATAATGCTTTCAAAATAGGTTGTTTTCCCAAATCAAGTCCAAACAAAGTCCAGTATTTTTAGGTTATTCCAATGACTTCTGTGTTAAAGTCCTGAATGAGGAAATGGAGAAATCAATTGCAACTGAAAAAACTGTACTGTTTTAGTGGACTGAAAATTCACTCACAAATATTATTACAAGCTCAGAAAAGGCTGAACATAACCAGTACAAACCACAGCTCGACCTGCGATGCACGCTCATTATAAAAAGACACTTTTTAAACCAACTCTGCAGGAAAAGTCTCAACAACAGAGACACATTTTGGCATTTTCTCCTCGGCGAGCACAAACTCCCCTTTTAATTTCATCAGGAACAACTCGGCGAGCTCATGGGGTCCGGAATGAAATTGTCTGCAGTGCAACACAAGTTTCATTTCCTGCTCAGGCTGAACGAGAGAAAAATGGACTGTTTTAATACTTTTCTAACGCTGGCGTCATGGAAACAGGGCATGCAACAATTCAAAACACGTGACCCACAATGCACCTGTTCTGCACCTGTATTTGTCTGCTCCGTGACAGCAATTGATTTCAAGGTAAAGCTCCTGATTGTTGGATCCAGCTTACAGAAGAAATGGAATCATCTTTGCTGCTTTTAAAAACGTGGAATAAAAAAAATGTGGTTTCTTCATATGATCCGTTTTGTTTACTGGGAATAGTGTAAAAATAATTGAATGCTGATCCAAGATGTGTGTTTTAATATCGGTTGCCAAGAAAACAATATCGACAAACTGGGAAAATGTTGACTCACCATCTGTGGCTGAATAGAAGCAAAGAATATACCAAGCGTTTAAGGCAAGGAAGGCAAGGCGAGTTTAATTGTGTAGCACAATTCATGCATAAGGCAACTCAAAGTACTGAACACAACAAGATAAAGACAGTTTAAGGGAGATAAATACTGCTTTCGAACTTTTTTAACCTGGTAAACAGTATAGTTACACAGAGGATTCTTCAAAGAATTGTGGGAAGAAATGGAATATTTAAATACTGTATTCTCTAAAGGATTGTGAGATTGTTTTATATGTATATAAACTGTATTGTCATTTTGTGTACAGTGAACCATCAGACAAATCTAGTTTCAGGGAAGGTTAGATAGATAGATAGACACGATGGATAGATAGATAGATAGATAGCTACAGTAGGTATGGCCAAGTTGATACTGTGCATTTATTGTTTATACATTTTTTATTGTGTATTATGTTTTTTTGTTTTTTTTTTTTTGAGTTTTGTTTGTTTTTTTGCACTATATGATTTGTATTGTTAAACTGTGCCATTGCCTGAAATAAATGACTAAATGCATAAATGAAAATGAAAATAGATAAGATAGATAGATAGATACAGTAGATAGATAGATATATACAGTAGATGGATGGATAGATAGATACAGTACAGTAGATAGATAGATAAAGTAGATGGATAGATAGATAGATACGGTAGATGATAGATAGATAGATAAAACATAAAACTAGAAAAGGTTGTTCTGTTGGATTTATAATAATAAGAAAAGGACGCGCTGTTTCAGAAGCAATAGTTTGTATACTGTGTGTCCAAGACGGTAAACTGCTTAAAACAAAAAAGACTAAATTAAAGGTGATATCAGCCATTTATCATGGCTGATATTTCATTTTAAAAAATATATTGTATTTTTGTGACCATGGGACATTGTACCATTGTGTACTGAGTATGCTTCAACTATTATATATTCAAAACAGTCCCTTCCCTTGGCATAACTGAGACGAGTCACATTTGCTGCAGGAGAACAGTTCAGCCAATGACAAAGGGCCTCACGGATTTGAATTCATTTTGACCAATCAAGAAGCTGCAGAGCTCCACGTCTCAGCCGCATGAATCAGAAATCCTACTTTTTCTCTGAGTTTGTCGTCAGTCGCCCTCGTCGACCTTTAGTGGGAAAGGTCACCTCCTATGTATTATTAAAAGCCCGGGTCATGCCGTGTTACATAATTAATCACTTCAGAGGACTAAACACACGCAGTTAGAGGCGTCCTGTCGCATGTCGGAGCCATAAAAGCACGCAGTCTTTTTGCACACTTAATTACGAAAGCTCTCGGGGGGCCTGACGTCGGAATCACAAAACAGACCTCACAAGATCTGTAAAGAAACTGAAAAAAAATGAACTGTCAGTGGAAAATGAAGCGGTTAGCACATCGTATAAAAGGGCAAGAGCCTAGAGAATGATTATGTTAACATTTAGAGCACTGCACACACACAGAGTGGGGGGGGGGGGTACTTTAATACTAATTATTCATATCAAATTCCATGAACTTCATTAGTAACAGTAAAAAGTCTAAGAAAAAATATTGTTTATATAAAATGACATTGTTCAAATCCAGGTTTGTTTAGCTGTGCATACGACTGAAGGGTTTTATCTTCACTATTTTAAATGTGCTGTGATTATTTTTGATTGTAATGCCTTGTTTGGTTGTTTCTATCCTGCTTGGTTCAACACTTTGACTTGCCTTGTGGATGAACTGTGCTAAACACATAAACTTGCCTATATGTATTTGAAGATTCTGTTTATTTTCCATTTCTTGTAAAACCACACTGGAGTACATGTGCAAAAGTACCCAGTGTGCACCAGACAAGTACAAACAATAAAGCTAAAAAAACCCCGAAAAGAAACAATAGTGCGAGATCATTTTTTTGTGGAAATATCTTGTACTTTCTATTCTGGTAAAAAGAAAAAGACAGGAATGAACTGATGAAGGTTAAAGTGGCTGAAATCTATTTGTGAAAGTACAAATTTCTTGTTTTTGAAATGGTTCCACTCACATTTGCACCTCAATACCTTCATCTTTTTCACTTGTATTTTTTATAGCTATGGACAAAAGATTAAATTATCAGATTGATTTGTTTTACTGCCAAATAGGAGCATATGAGATCAGTCCACGGTCCGATCAATACATTTCATCAGACGGAAGATACATATAGATGGCGAGTTAGTAACTGCTGTTTTAATGGTAACGTGTCATTGTTGCGTGTGAGAGATCTGAGCCGAGCCTTTTCTTCTCCGGTAGAGTGGATATATAACAGTGGAACCTGAAGCAGCATCGCAGGGCTGTATAAAAGCAGCAGCAGAGATGTACTGTGAAAGCGCGGCATGGGGCAGAGCAGACACCCACCCTTCCTGAATCAGCCGTTTCTGTGGCGACCGGAGCGGAGGGGGCGGAGACAGAGGAGACAAACATTTGAAAAAAGAAATAAATAAAAATAAAAAACAGGAGATGGCATCGGTGGGCAGAGACAAGGGGCACAGCTGTGGACAGATTCCATCGTCTGATTTTAAGGACGTCAGGAAATGACATTCAAATCAGTTGTTAAAGGAGACATTTCATGGAATATAAACTTTTTGAGATTTTAACCATGTTTCACACTAGCAATTGTTTTTAAAAATCAATCCATACTTCATGATTTTGTATTTCCCCTTCTGTCTCAGACCTGTTTTAGTATCAGAAGTACTGACCATGTATTAGTTTGGGCAATTTTTCAAGTAAAAAACCTTTACAAACACATTGTTGAGTTTGCTGCTAGTAATTTTCCTATTTGAATATTTTTTTTAAACAAAACAAATGTGACTCCTCCCTTTGGTGGTAGCAAAGGGAGTTACAGGCAAATATATTTTTTCACCCTTCATACTTGTTTCATCATTTTGAAGTGACAAAGTGTATACAGTTGTTGTTATTGGTGATGCTCAAAAATAATACATGCTATTTCTTAACTTTTAGTATTTAGTATTTAATAATTGTTATATATGTTATAAATAAACATTTGAGACAGTATTGCTCCACATTGACTCCTCTGACTCACAGTCAGTGAATCTTCATCTTCAGGGTTTGTCTTACAGTGGAAGAAGCCCGTTAAAAATACTTAAAACCTTTGACGAGTATCAGGAGCCAAATGATGTAGAGCAGGTAGTAACAGCTTAGCAACAAAAATGCCAATCAGGAGATCACAGGGTAAAGCCAATTTTGGGAACAGAAGGAACTTGATTGGTCAGTTATTAGGACTCATGACTGGATTTACAAAGACATAATCAAAATAAAAGACTCCAGGCTCATACAAAGCTCTAAACCACAGATTTTAAGCTTGAAATGATGAGTATGACACAAACAGTTACTATAGAGATCGAGGAGCCCTATCAGGTTTCATAGAGCTAGCAGGTTAGCATGATCCATTTGTTGTCTACTGTATGTGGCCACCACTACTCTGACACATCCACAGTTTTCACAGCTTTTCACAGTCAATTATAATGTAAGGAAAAACATCAGCTGATCACTGACTTGGTCTGTGATCTGAACAGTTTCAATTCATTGGATCGATATTGGGTGAAAACATACAAAATGCGCAGACCTATTTATTTTATGTGAAATGTTGACGTGATCTACCGTTTTACATAGATATTGATATTTCCAGTGCATTAAATACTGTACATAAAAATGAACCATAGTGTTATAGATTCTTACTACATACCAGCAGAAGCAGGTATGAAATTACTATTTTCCAAATGAAGTTGGAAATGTTAGCATAGCGACGACAGTAGCTAGATTGGATGTTTGTAGCTACCATCTGATGTGTACATTTGCAGATATTGAAATTGACTGTCTGGATTCCTCCGTATGCATACAGGGCGTCATATAATTTAAATCTGAAAGTTTCCATTGCTCCACCATCTGCAAAAATATGACTCTTGACTTTTTACTCCAGGTTTATAAGAAAAATATGCTGTTATTCATCCATGTACCCTTTTCAACAATAAAATCCAAGAATCAAAATCATCCGTACTGAGCGCTTTCAGACAAGCTTTATTACGGGCCAACTATTTCAGTCCCTGCTTTTCTTCTTGTTGGTTGCTATAGGTTACCACCAGAACCACCTTGATCCACAACACCTTGATCAAATGCATCCAATTTGCAAATGTAACAGTTTTTTTTTTTGCAAGCGATGAAAAGATTTGCTTCACACTTGGATTAGGATCTTGCACAATTCAGTAACCAACTGACACGCAGAGGCAAAAACAATCCCTACCACTGCCACATGCGCAGCTGGGTTTAGGAGGAAAACTGGGGGCTTTTTTTCACCCCTGAAAGAAAGTCCAGCACATGGATACGGCTCAAGGATTCCTGCACATCCACAATACCTCACTGTGAAATCCCATTCAACCATATGGACCATTACAGAAACCTTGAGAATTCTCTTCAGGCGGATGACAAAACGGTTTTTGAACCAGTCACGGCAGATTAGGACTTCCTTGAGAAAGTTCCCAGGAAAACTTGTTGATTCGATAAGTTGTGCTGCAGCCGGGATTAAGGCTTGCATATCAATTCCAATCGAAGCTGTACATGCTGGCCGCTACAGTATACAATCAGACAGACAAAGAGCCCTGCGCCAGTACTATTCTAGAAACTCAACAACGTGACTTTGGACATTATCATTCGCACGAGGTGAAGAGACACACATGCTTGGCAATTAAAAGCAGATAGCTGTGATAATACGTCAGGAAAAAGATGAACAAAAAAGCTGATACAGGATCTGATTTCACGGCAACAACTACAAACATTATGTAACAGAATCTTGCTCGATTTTTTCTACTACCTGGTACAATAGAATCGCAGTGAGAAGCAGCCAATTGGAGAGTTCATACAAAGCGATTAGAGTCGACCAAGAAAAACATGATGTACTCCCTCTGTAGATTTTCCTTAAATGTTGAGACTGAGAAATAAATGAAACTACAAATCTAGTTGACAAGCATCGTAAGCTGTCCCCCTGTCTTTGCATATTTTATAATGAGTGAAAAACGCAGTTGACACCCATGTTCTCAGGTATGCTTTTACACATGGGGAAAATAAATCCACTCCAATCAGATCTGTCATATCCCCTCTTCCCTCCGGTCATTTTCACATGCCAGTCAATAGGTAAACAAACCATCACTCAACACACATACGCACACACACACACGCACGGATATATATGTAAAACACCTACGCACCACTGACGCACAACTACAACAGAAATAGAAACTTGCTTTTTTTCTCAAGGACAACATTTCAAACGCAGTCTTTCCATAAAAATGTATGATTTCAAAGACTTCACCACTCACCTGTTTGCAAGTCTGGAGATGGACAGAGTCTCTGGATGGAGCGGACCTAGGCTGGACTCATACCAGTAGAGCGGGTACTTGACGTTGATAATGGATTGTAGGGATGTCTTGCTTTTCCCCTGGCTGACAGAAAGAAGGAAAGAAAAGAAATTGCGCTAGGTTTTTTCACACATGCTGTAGCACCAACAACACGCGGAAAGCTGGGGGCTGCGGACTCTCTCATCAGCAAGTCTCCCTATCTCTCCTCCTCCTCCTCCTCTTTCTCTTTCTCTCCGCTGCCTCTAGTCTAGGCTTGATGCGACTGTATAGCTGGGCCAATGAACAGACAAAGTGTACAGTTGTGATCAAATGCCACCTCCTTTCCAAGTATGTATCATGCGTGTGTGGCACAAGGTAAAAACAATGCAGGCTTGTGGGAGGGAGATGGAGAGAGCTTACTCCCACCTCCTGTTCACCCTCTTTTCACCACCAACCAACCATCCAACCACCCACCCACCATGCTCCTCTTGCCAGCCCCGCACCAGCCTGTCCAAATGAGTCATCAGCTCTCAGCCAATGGAGAGGTGGCTGCAGCCTTGCATTTGAATAACACGAGTATTTATGTATTTTGAGATCAGATTCTGAGATACAGCTTTGGCTAAACGACAGCAGAACCAAATCATTTCACATATTTCGGACTGAAAACCATGTCGAAACTGATTGTTTCTGCAATATGAATCAGATTTTCATTATATCTAATTGCCCCCTATGAGTATGAGTCATCTGTAATGCATAATAAAGTGTGAAAGTACATAGTGTGATAGTACCTCAGGAGTAATGCGGTACATTCGAGGGCAACAAGAGGATTTAAAAAGCAGGACATTTAGACAGACAGTATTGACAACTCCAGCTGATGATGGACATCTTGTCAAGAATATTTGAAGACAGGCTGGATAATTAGTGATCTGTTTCTGGAAAGCTGTTTGTAATAAAAATTGAGTCCGGGTTTAGACGATGCAAAGGTGGTGTCTTCTTGTAGTATTAAAGCACGGTTACATGACTTTCAAACAATACAATTGAGCTATGTAATGAAAAACAACTAGTTCCTTGCCCTCAAAACATTTTGGTTCGATCACTAGTTTTGTCATGCGTGCTGATTTTCGCATCTGTCACATTTTTTCTGACAGACAAGTGAAAAAGAGAGGACCACCATCAATCAGCCAATAAGCTCTCAGCCCAATGCATCAAACACTGACTTATTGGGCTCTTTCTTGTAAGTCAGTCAGAGATTTTGTACTTACTGTTTAGCTTCTTCATCATGCTAAAGTTGGAGATTTTAGACTTCTTTCCTTATTATGCTAAAGGAGATTTATTGTATGTTAACACAGCGTAATCATTCATTCATCTAGTCCTGTCTGCTCCTCAGTCTTACCTTCTGCAACTTGTGATCCAACACTGAAATTTCCTCACCTAGACGAATAAATGATCTCTTAATCGGAATGCAAACAATAACATTTCATACAAGATGGGGGCAGCATGTGTTGGTCTGATTTGTTCACACTGATTTGCTCATAAGACTCATTCTGTTGAGGGCAAACAATGTGTTATTTCGGAGGTAAATTCAGCTCTAAGTAAATCTAAGTAAACAAAAAAAAAAACCGAAAGCGTTATTTCAGATTCTAGAATGTGATTATTGTAAGCTTCACAGATGGACGGCAAGAACCAGTTTGAAACCTGCTCATTTCTATTGATTACCAGAACTTTGGAAATTTACTGGAAAAAATTATTATTATAACTATAACTATATTTTTGCTTCCCACTCTGTTCAAAACTACTAGAATGCTGTAACATCATCCAAAACCCCCAATAGCTTTTAAGAAGTACACAAGTTTAATCTTCTGATAATTCACGCATCATTAAAGAAGAGATTAGAGAAAATGGGTTAAGTATAGTTAGTACATCACCCAATGCACTTTGACAGGCTGGCTCAATCATTTATGGGAAGAATGTGAAATGTGAGGTACATACTGTAACTCAAAAACTGCCCTCAAGTACAGTAATGTCAGAACACGTCTCACCGGAGTGGACCCCCTGCCAACATCCTGCGGCCGATCCAATTTGGTCCTTTCTCAGAGATGATTCCAGACGTGAGGTGCTGCAGTAAATAGTAGGCAGAGAAATGAAGGACCGATGAGTGAACAGAGATCAATAGCCAATCATCTGATAACAAGAAGTGCAAAATAGGCAACATTCGGAAATGTTTTTTTTTCCTGACGTGTGGCCTTAGTCACTGCTGCTGTGCGGAGAATGAACTGTCGTCACTGAAAAGCGCAGGCTGTCAAAAATAGATTAATAATATACTCTGGGTACTGTAATTTCCAAACTAGAAGCTGCTACTTTTTCAAGTGTTTTAAACCCTGCGGCTTATATAGGGATGCAGCCTATATATGTATTTTACTGTTTTGACTCCATTTAGTTTCAGTGTCTATAGGACACATCCAAAAAGTGTGGGCTGGAAAATGTGTGAAAAAAACGCATCTGCGCATGCATCAGCCGGCACGAGCCCCATTCATTTAAACGAGTGCCTTCAAAATTTCAACGCGAGTAAACTTAGAGTGGTCCAAAAGAATTCACTCCCCTCAGCATTGACACACATGTGGAACGTAGCATTGGTCCAAGACCCAACTTTTGGACAATCCTATAAACTTTCAAGAGGTAAGAAGATACGTACATTGTCATTGAATAATTCTTATTCCGGGTCCACCCCCACTGGCCCGGGGTGGTATTGCAAGCATGTCAGCAGACGTCATTTGGGACATATTTGAGCCGGTGTTCTGCCGAGTTGTGCCGCTCTGCCAAAAAGTGACGCTTATGTAATGCTCAGCTGTTAATGATGTAATGCAAACCTGCGCGCATGCGCGTCTCACGGCAGCCGAAACAAACCAAGATGGCGGACAGAAAGTCCGAGAATTGCTTTAAAAGTTATAATACGAACGAAATAAGACACGAATGTCACTTTTAATGCAATTTGAGGCGAGATGTTGATGGTTCCGTGTTGGCACATGTGGGTTTTAAGAGTCAAACTTTCGGGTAAAGTTTAGTTTAAGCAGTCAACTGCACCTATGAAACCACTATGCTTATGTTATGATAGCAGTCCTGGCAGCTGACGTACGTCCTTTTTTGCGCATGCTCAAATCAGACTTGTTTTCTCTTCTACCCGAAGCTGAAAACACACGTGAGTATGGCTCTCCGTTTTCAAATGGCATATATTTCGATTGTTTTAACGTTCTATCAGCGAAATTCATCCTGTGATTTGATAGGGGCTTAGTTGGACACGTATGTTAATTATTGTAATTTGCTGTTTGCGTAGTGTACTGTAATGTACTGAAATGTTTTGTCCCTTTGTCTGTTTCATGGTGTGACGACGAGACCATTTGCACCTGCTGACTGTCCTCCTTCAGCCCGACTCGTGGGCTGCACCCCTGCCTGGGAGCTGCCTCAGTCCTCGTTCTGCTGCCCCAGTCCCGCCCTGCGCCCTGGTCCATGTTCTGTAGCTTAGGTTCTGGATCTATAGCTTGTCCGTCCGTGAGGAGCGGATCCCTTTCTCAATGTGGTCTCCCTCAAGGTTTCTCACTTTTTTCCCACTGGGTTTTAGAGTTTTTCCTTGCCGATGTAGGAGGTTCTGTTAGACAGTTAGTGTCTAACAAAAGGACTGGTGATGATCCAGGACACTTTAACATTCTACAACATTTATGGACATTTTTTCTCCTTATGGATCAATGGTTCTCTGTTGTTTTGCATTTCATGTGTTTAAGTGTTCCTCTCAGATTTGTGTTTTGAAAGATATACAATGTATTGTGTGCTTTGGATGTGCCTGATATTTGTTAAATGAATTGATTTCTGAAAATGAAGTCTCCACGCTCTTTCAACATTATCAATATATTTATTTGACAGGGACAATGCAGACACAGTCATAAACAAAGCTTGCAGCTGATGTGATGAATGTAGTTTATAGCAGATGCCAATTCACAACTCCTGTCCCTGGTTGGGCCTAACCAATCAAAGTCAATACAATTCCTACATTTCTAAAAATACACTTAGTTTACAGCCTTCAGACTTAAACAGACTTGATTGATCCACACAAAAAAACTACAAACATGTTTTCTCTTGTATTTAAAGCTTGACATCAATGCGGGAACTTTACATCCTTCAGCAGGAAAATCTACACAAATTCAATTCAATACCACAGCCCATTTTTTATGCACAACCTAACATAAAGCCCATGAAAAAACCTTTGATTGGTTCCAATTTAAATGTTACTCACCAGTGTTGTTCATTTCTTTAATAGAAAGGATGCACCCGATCTTTCATCTGGGAAACTAGTCAAAATTCATCAATCCACGAAGGAATTACATTTCAAAGGACAACATGGCCATGGCATGTAATCTCTGTGGTTACTGGTGATAATAATCCTGTGGTTGTTGTCATGGATCAGCTGCAGCAGAGTCTTGACAGTAAAAGTTGCACTATATATCCAAATGGCCATATTTTTTTTTTTTTTGCAACTTCGAATTCATCCCATGAAAATTATTAACTGAACTGACAGAAAAGTGTGCAGTCCACAAGCTGTGCTGCTGCAGGTGATCGCTGCATTAAATTAAATTTATTATTTCCATTATCAATATTCATCCAGTTGTAAGCTGTAGAGTTGCCACAGGACGCTTCATCAGCCTACGTCAGCTGCCAGGACTGCTATCATAACATAAGCATAGTGGTTTCATAGGTGCAGTTGACTGCTTAAACTAAACTTTACCCGAAAGTTTGACTCTTAAAACCCACATGTGCCAACACGGAACCATCAACATCTCGCCTCAAATTGCATTAAAAGTGACATTCGTGTCTTATTTCGTTCGTATTATAACTTTTAAAGCAATTCTCGGACTTTCTGTCCGCCATCTTGGTTTGTTTTGGCTGCCGTGAGACGCGCATGCGCGCAGGTTTGCATTACATCATTAACAGCTGAGCATTACATAAGCGTCACTTTTTGGCAGAGCGGCACAACTCGGCAGAACACCGGAACCCGCCCCCACTGGGTGCAGCCTATATGTGCGCAAAATGTACTTTCTTTAAAAAATGTTTTGTGGTGCAGTTTATAACCAGGTGCGCTTTATTGTCCAGAAAGTACAATAATAAGACTACTTTGGCTATAAATACAATTTTTGTAACATTTTCCACAATATTATAATGACTGAATAGTCATGTATAGATTTGATCATGGTGTGTTGGAGACAATACGGCTGAAGACTTGGATGTTGGAGTTGGTTTCTATGTCATATGTGTTTAGGTCAGGGGTCTCTAACCTGCTGCTCAGGAGATACCAGAACTCACTAACCCCTTTCAGGTAGCCCCCCCAAAGAATTAAAATATTTAACACATTGCATTGCACTACAACAACTTTCATGAATGCAGGGAAACTGTGAAGTATCCTGGTATATTGTGCATGTGTGTTCTCCATGATTTGCTGTTGTTATTGTACAGATAGATAGATAGATAGATACTTTATTGATCCCAGTAGGAGAAATTCAGGTGTCCAGTAGCAGCAAAATTGATCATTCTAAAAAGCTAATAATAGTGTTAATCAGCCATAGGCCTTCAGGTCACAGCAGCAAAGACTGAGTGGTCTCTGGGTGGGGTAGGATGGGTCACTGTAGCAGAGGTGGAGTAGCCACTGGGTGGAGCAGGACGTGTCACAGAAGTACATACCAGTGTTTTGTCTAAGGACACAATGACAGTTTGGCACCTGGTGTTCCCAGAAGTCTACCATCACAGTACTAACCAGGCCCTGCCTTGCACAGCTTCAGAAGTCTGATGGGAAGTAGGCAAAATGGGATAAAGACAGCATGACTTCAAGGACAGGATAATGCACAAAAGGATTGACCACTAGATTGTTCAGAGAAGTCTCTTTCGTAGAAAGAATTTACACTTTGTATAGTCCTCCAATATCAATTATGAAAAGTCTTGATATTTGACACATAAATTAGATTGGGATGATAGCTGTCACTGTATGGAGTTTCTCCCTGTGTCGGTTTCTGGTTTTAGAGTATAGGATATGCAGCCCTTTTTAGTTTTCTGTTATTGTGAATGCTAATGAAACAGGTCATCACAGCATCTCCATTCCTGAGGCTGAGCCCCAGTCATTCCACACATTTCTTTCAGTCTCGGATTCCCATTTGCGGTAATAGCCCTGTATGCACGGACAAAATTAATTTACTTATCAAAGGCAATGGAGAGTAAACAAGCCAGAATATGCGACGGTGAAGAGACAATCACACAGACACAATGCATTCAGAGTAATTAGAAGAAGTTGAGTGCCAGACAAACATGGGAAGCACAAATGTGATTCTCGAAAAGCCTCTCTGAAAGCCAGTCAGCCTGCCACAGCTCCGAGTCAATAGTTGCAGTCTGTGAAATCGTGTGAAGAATCAGTACAACCTCCAGATAAACAAATCAGCATGTCCAACTCATGAGCCTGTCGCATTTCCAGGGAGTGCGTCTCTGTGATAAAGTCCTACGACAAATGTGAAGCTAATGTATCAAAGACAGTGTCACGCTCCTCTCTCAATACCAGACATCCAGCCGAGGAACTTGTGGGGTGTTAAATGCCATGACGCTCCAGGCTTGAACAACAAATAGCCACCTCTTTGCCGGATGAGACACATGCTAATAATATATCGTCAATGTAAAGGTTATGGTGTCAAAGGCAAAATGTCTCAAGACAGTTTTTTGATTTTTGTTCAGGTTTGCCTAAGGAAACAGCAAAACTTGACCAGATTGGAGTTTGCATCAAAGGTGTTGCTATGAATTATGTGCAATTGTGTTGAATTGGTAAATGTGCTGCAGCCAAAAGGGGAAGTGATTGAAAATTAGGCTATTACACTGCCTCACATCAAGTGCTTGTATCTCATATCAAGTACTTGTACTTTTAGTTTCAAGAGGATGTTGGCATGTACAAAAAACAGGCTGATTTCAGAGTTTTTCATTCATTAGACACATAATGAAAGATTTACGATGGATGATATAGGCTGGGTTAGGGTAAGATCATTTTAACAATATAGAAACGACAAGATAATGGGTTTTGAAGATGAAATATGAGCTCACTCTTCTGCTGCCTTCACTCACACCACAGCACTTCACGGAGAGGCCCCTGGGGATCTCCGAGTCTGATACCTGCAGACTGACGCTGAACACCAGGAGCAATGGGACCATGGTTGCGCTCCATTAACTTACAGAGCCATGTCACTGCTGTGTGGGCTTCAACAGCACACCAAAAAAAAAAAAAAAAAATAGTAGTATAGACAGTAGATAGGAGTGGACTTAGTAAACATAGCTGGCTTTTAGTTGATTAGAGCCATATTTTACCACACTCCCAAGCCAAATTCATTTATAGCAACTTCTTAGCAGCCAAAAAGCCAACCAGGAGCGAGGGTTAGGGTTAGTGACGTCTGATGAAGATGCATGTACACAATGCCTTGAAATGCCCGTTTCTCATTACATTTGTCCTGTAATGCCATCCATCCATTTTCTTCCCCTCTGTCAGTGAGAGCATAGACTTGATCTTGGCATCAGTGAGAGGAGTGGGTTTTGTGGAGGGATCAAACCGACAACTTTCAGACTCAAAGGCCGATGCTCTGCCGACTGAGCCATCGTCGCCCCCATTGTCCAGTAATATATATTAGGGCTGGGCGGTATAAACGGTATAAGCGGTAGACGGTATAAATTTGGCCCACGGTAGAGATTTTTGTTATACCGGCATATTGCGATAGGTCATTATGTCATTAAATTGCGCAGGCTCTGACGCCAGCAGAAAGGACCAAAACAAACCGGCATTCAGCAGCATTAGCCTAGCATTAGCCTAGCACTATTGGACACCACTGGAAACAACGAACAACAGCACGGCATTCACACCGTGTTTCTGTCTCTGTATTGTTGTCACAGCGGCCCCAGCAGAGGTAAATACACACACAGTAATCACAGTTTAAGAGTCTACCTTTTGGCCAATCAGTGTCAAAGGGGCGTAGGCTCGAAGCGCCAGCGTGTGCCGTGTCCGCAGCATCACAGCAGAAGTTTGGGAAAGTTAGCGTCAGATTCGGACCTCCGCGGTCAATATCTCACGAAAGCTACTTTGTTAAACAAAATTATTTGTGCCAAAATGACCATTTACATCAATTGTTCAAATCCAATGCCCTGTTTTAATGAACATAAAATCCATTGAATCATCCAGTTCACTGCAAGGGCAAAGAAAAGCGCTTAGGGAGCGTCAACAAATGGCAAGACCAGCTTTGTAAACGAACAGCTTTTACTGAAGTCATGTACCTGCACAAAACTCTCAGACACTATAAATAATGACCATGTCAAACTCCTACAGACTTTGATTTCAACATTTGTGAGTTTTTTATATTTTAAATGAATGCATATGTTTTTCTTTTTAAAAATTGCTTTTACAGTGAATGGTATTTACTGTAACATACATAAATAATGTATGTTATTTGTCTCTTTATTCGTCTCACAACTGATTTTCTAACTCAAAAAATATATATATTAGATTCTAATATATAAATAATTAACAATCTTGACTATTTTATGCAAGAACCTGCTAGACCTATATTGAAATTCACACACCAAATTATACCGCGATATATACCGTCTACCGTCTATGACCCAAATTATACCGCGATATGAATTTTAGGCCATATCGCCCACCCCTAATATATATATATATTTTTTTTTTATTAACAAAGAACACCTCTCTGTGTTATAGAGAAATTGAATGCCCGACCTCAAACAAAATTAAACCAGAACAGAGCCCGTGAGAGGCACTTGATAAAACTCTAACAAAGTAATGTCCCCAGTGTGGCCTGTTGAATAGGTAAATGGTGCTACAGTTTCTGAGGTGGTGAGGTCAATGGAGACTCACATAACCGCAGCGACAGTGATGTGCTGTCTTTATTACAGCTGCTGTCAGCCTGTCCGCCCTTTGATTTGATCAGCACCGTGATAAGCAGAGCCCCCCATCCTTCACTGTCACCGCCGCAAACAACGCACGCCGTACCTTCCACTTGAGGAATGACCACATGCAGTAGCTCCAAAAGTAACGCCGTGAGAGCTGCAGTTAAGTGAGAACATGTGAAGCAATCTCAGAAAGAGCACAGGAGGTGAGACAGTTTGCGTGATCGTTGTGCTGATGACGTGGATCGGGAACCGTCAGGGTAATTTAATGTACATGCCTTTTACGCATCCTGAGAAATGTCTAAAGTGATGTCTTATATTTACTATGGTGAACAAACCAAATGTATCACTGGAAATGCTGTTTTGGAGATAACAAAATGTAAATATTGAGGGGATCATAGTTCAATTTATCATAACAATTTACTGATTATGCAACACTGACATCTACCCACTGTAGGACAGATAATCTTAATCTTTAATAATAGGCAAAAATGTACTCATAATTAAAGTTCTGTAAGTTTCTGTATATTTCTGTTTTTTCATTTCACAGTAAGATAATTAAATCCCATACATTATACAGCTTTATAAGATTACAGATATTGTTAAAAATGACAGATTTTTCTAACTACAGAGCATGCAGAGAACACATCCCTCTCCAAGGCCATGAATCGTCCTGAGATTTTAATGCAGTTTTCTTACCATCACATCCCATGTACACAACAAATATCAGCTCAATCCGTCCAGTAGTTTTTGCACAATCCTGCCTGCAGACACACACATGATCAAGACACACACACACACACACACACACACACACATACACACACACCTAAATGTAACGAACTGCTTTTATCCTATATGGTCATTTTTTCTATTTGGCAATTATTATCTAATGTGGGCCAGATACGTATAACTGACTGCTTTGTCTAGCCTCTTTTACAATAAGTCGACCAATCCATTAAAAGTCTCATGTCGATCCATATCAGTCTTATAACATGCCAAAGCTGATCTTGGTACACGACAATGCATCGAAAGAGAACAGATGGCAAAATGCAATCATTAAAACCCAGTATTGTCCACTTTCACAACACAGAAAAGCAAGAAAACACAAAAGGTTGTATTTTTCTTGGACAGAGCTGCCAGGCCTCCACTGAGGATAGACACAATTCACACTATTTATCAGAGGGTCTCATGGCGGCTGACATCACCATTTCACCAAACACAGAAAATGCACAGGCAAACATGCCAAACACTCTTTTCCTGTGGGTAAAAACACTTCCCTGAATCACTGAAGAGCTGCTAGACCAATATTGTGCTCACTCCTGTCCTGCCCTTGCTTTTTATAGCCGACCTTAAGCGGCTAAACAAAAATATAATTTCCGGGAAGCACTTGTTTGTGCATGTTGCTTCTAACACTTCCAGACAAAGTCGACCTGTCCCAACATCCCATCACAATTAAGGATACGGCATTGGGTCGCATCATTCTGTTACATCCTGTTATGTACTAGTACTGAAACTAGTTACATGGATCTTAATATTTTTGTGGCTTGAAACTTAATTAATCATGTCAAGTAAAAACAGTAGTTGTGTTGCTGTGGTCAAAGAAACCCGAGGGAAGCAATGATATCCCGGCTTATAAATGCTCTGAAAGAGGTAAAACAGTAAAACGCTGAGTAAAAAGCTGATTTTAAAAACGAATGTCCCTTTTAAAGAAAATAATGCCACATCCACTGATCAGCAGCCAGCGTGCCTTAGTATAAAAGCCAAAGCCTGTGAGAGTGTCCAGTTGAATGGAGGTGACAAAGGGTTAACACTGGACTGGAGTCATATCTACTCACTCTTAAGACCGTCAGAGCTTTCAGGAGATGAGCCATTGATTCCCCTCTGGGCCAATGCACAACTGCACCCTACACCAGGACAGTCACGCAGCCCTGATCATCACCTGCGTACGAGGATTGGGGCAGAAAAAAAGAAGAAAAAAAGAAAATGCTATTGTGTTTCATTGTGGTCCTATGCAAACAATTACAGCAGCACTTAAAGGAGAAGTACTATGCATCATTTCTGAATGTTATTTGCTTTACAATTTGCTTTATCAATTCAAATGACACAATGTGAATTAATATCTAATAGCTCTACTTGTTTCGGCTAATGGAGATCAAATAAATACAAATATTTTGAGTAGAATACATGTGGTAAAACAAGTGTGAATGGTAACTCTCTATGCTACCACCAGAGGGAGGAGTTGTATTTGTATTGTTTTTTTCGTAAAAAAAATGGAAACAACCAGCTGCAAACTCACCCATGCGATTGTAAAGCATGTAAAATTACCTGAGAACTAATTTATGGGCATTTATGGGTAACCACACAGTGACCTTATAAACAGTTATTTACGAAACTATAATATAAACTCAATATGTTCTATCAATCTCCTTTAGGTTTACTTTATTATTCACTTTTGCATATTACCCAAAGACTGTAGAAAATACAATCTTACTTTCCATTCTTCTCTCTGCTTTTGTGAATGTCTCTGTAAGTTTTTTCTCCTGAAGGACGTGGAGTTCATCTGTGGAGAAAGCAGAGACACTGTGGCATTCAAATTGATTAAGTGCTTTATGCAACAGTCTGTCTGCTTTGCTAGATGTACAACAAGAGCCACAAAAGAGAAATAACATGCTTTACTTCACGGGCGTTTGCCAAAAACAAGGAGACAAGCAGATTATATCAAGCCTCCACTGCTACGTGTCCAAATAAGACAAATGTGCAGAGTACAAGAATCAATCACACTGATGTTTCCGGGAATTTACACATTTTAACTTCAGCGAATTAGCTTTTTGTCTTTTCAAATCACAGTATGCTAATGTTGCACTAATGTTATCATGTTGTCAAATATAGCTTTTTAAAAACAGTTTTTTATGACAGCAGAGCATGTTAAAGGGACAGTATGTAATTTGTGTTCTTTGTGGTCTAATAAAGTAATCACGATTACAATCAAGCTTTTGGATTGTTTCTCTGCCTGTGACACACGTAGCTTCTGAAATGTCTTAATCTTCAAAGGAATCCAGTTCACATAGAAAAGGTACAAGCTCTTTGTGTTGTGTATGACTACTTATTTTTGTATCTATTTTCACTTAAACAAATGTGCGTTGCAAACTCACACAAACACACGGTGGCTGGGGGCGGCACGGTGGCCCAGGCGCTGTACTACGGCAACCACTGCTCCTGACGTAAGCCCTAGTGGCATCAGGATGGGTCAAATGCAG